TATATATATATATATATATATATATATGATGGACACAACACCTTTATTTTATGTGTTTTGGTTGTTATTTTTTATGTGGGCCAGGGTTGTGGCTCAGTAGTAGACGCTTGCCTAGCATGTGTGAGGCACTGAGGTCCCTCTTTCTGTGCGAAAGTGGGTCCTGTACCTGCTGGCTATTGGCTCTCCTGCTCCACCATCCATCCCCTAAAGCAAAAATGAGTTCTCCAATCCAGAACTGAGCTCCCTACCTGGAGCCCATTCTGACTTCTCACCTGCTCCCACAGAGGAAGTCATGACGAGGAAGTCCTCCAGCACAGTGGAGTTCTTCAGTTTGGTGACCCGGAGTTCCAACATCCCTGCCGGCGAGAGCGTCCCTGAGTTTGTGGAGAAACCTCACCCAATCACCTTACCTGAGGGTGTGTCACTGCCTGTCTTTCCCCAATCTCCTGGTGCTTCCCTTTCGTCCCCAGGTTCACCCGCCCCACCCAATGTTCCCCAATACACAGACATTGGCAGAGCCAAGTGAGTAGTATCCTCCCCTTGGCCTGGGCCAGACCCAGATCCCCAGGAAGAGGAGAGAGCAGGCAGAGTGTCTAGCCTGTGGGCGGAGGTAAAAATGTGTCCTGTGCCCACCACAGGGGATAAAGCTGAGTTCCGAGCACGGGTGCAGGGGAACCCCAAACCCAATGTCTCCTGGAAGAGGGAGAGTGGCATCCCCATCAAGGAGTCCGCCAAGATATTCTACGACAGCATTAACAAGGAGCACGTGCTAAAGGTGCGCCCTGATGTCAAGGTCCATTACCAAGGAGGTGGGAAGCAGGGAGCCCAGGGCGGATTGCCTTTCCTCACACCTAAAAGAGAGCCATAAGGGCCACCCAAAAACTGGGCAGTGGGAAAACAGGACATTGTTGCCCTAAAGGCACCGGCGGGCTGGAAGAGGCCGACTCAGGAACTGTGGTTTTGCTAGTCAAAGAAGGGAACCAAAATTACCCACACAGCAAGGTCTAGCTAAGGCAAAGTCAGAAGGACGGGGCCAGAAGGTGAGAGAGCCAAAGACAAAGGAGAGATCAAATCAGTAGATGTGGGAGGAAGCTGCAGAATCATAGTGGGCAGAGTGAGAATGAGGAATAGCGCCTCGGGGATTGGGATCGATTAGCCAGAGCAGGTGTGAGCATAGGGAGGTTTGGACCCAGAAAAGTCCTGCCCTAGGCCCATCAGCTTCCGGGTCACTTCCCAAGAGCTGGTACTCAGCTTCAACCTCTGGCTTCAGGCCGTTGGAGGAAAGGGATGGTGGATTACTGGGAGATGTAGGCCTATAATTACTCCCAACCCTATAATTACTCTGGTCCTGCCCCACATCCCTTTGTGAAAAAAAGATCTCCTCTCTCCCCCAAAGTCCCAGAAGGACAGAATCCCTCTGACAGAAGTTGGCTCCTTCTTCTTCCAAATCCCAGCATTAACTGGACTCAGCCTGGCACAAGCACACAAGCTGCCCTAGAGTCCCCCTACTGGCCACCCCTTACATAAGCTCATTCATTCAGCAGCACTTATGATTACCTTGACTTCCCAGAGCCCATCCAGCTGTAAGCGCCTGCAGACATGCACCAAGTCAACCCTATTCACCATTTCCTGGGGTTCAGCACAGCCACTAATACAAAGGAGTAAATGAATATATTACATGAAGAAAATGTTCATTTGGTGCTGAAAACTTAGAAGTCAGAAAGTCCCCACTTTCTAGGAGCTCTCAACCCAGGGACAGAATCTGAGAAACAGATAGAGAATGTTAGTACCAGAAAATCAGGTGGAAAACAGGCATCCTCATACTAGCTATTACTTGGTACTTCCAAATCATAGAGGCTGCTCAATCCATCCAACACTCAGTCCCTCCCCAAAGAAAGTCTCTTTCCTCATCTTATAAGAAGTCACTCTGTGGTTCCCTCCCTGTGCCCTCTAATGGTCTGATCCAGCTGGAACCACTGACCTCAGATGACTCCGACAACTACAAGTGCATTGCAAGCAATGACCATGCAGATGCCATCTACACCGTGTCCCTGCTGGTAACAGAGGGTGAGACAGCCCCCTCCTCCTGGCCTTTGCTCTTAAGATAGACTTAGACTCCCCTCTGTCTGACATTGCCCCTCTCTCTGTCCTCAGGTCAAGAAAAACTAGATTTCAAGAAGATGTTGAAGAAGAGGTGAGACTAGGAAGCCCAGGGTACACTCTCCCACCCAAGCTGGAGCCTTCAAAGGCCCCTCAACAGGTCCCTGAATTCCAAGAATTCATGGATTCAAAGTTGGGAAAGCTCCCTCTGTCCTCAGATGGGAGGCACTTAGTACAGCTTGGTCCCCTCTTTCTCCAGGGCTCCTCCACCCCCCAAGAAGAAGCAGAAAGTGACAGATGAGAAAGAGATGCTGGAGATTTTGTCCAAGGTGCCCAAGAAAGACTTTGAAAAGGTCTGCATGGAGTATGGTTTCACTGACTTCCGGGGGCTGCTCAAGAAGCTCAAAGGGATGAAGAAGAAAGCAGAAGTGGAGGTCAGTGCCCAGCAGGGGGCTGGAACCTGCAAGCCAGGGCGTGGGCTTCAATGCCAGTGCTAAAGCCAACCTGCACACACAGTCTCAGAGGCCTACTTTCCACTGCAAGAGCAAGAAAGGAACTCAAGTCACTTCCTCCTACCTCTCCTCTCTTTACCTCTTCCTGGTGTACTTGCATGAACTTTGGAATCATAGAGATCTGGCATCAAATCCCAGCTCTACTGCTTTATTGGCTGTGTGACCTTGAGTATCTCTCCTGAGTTTCCATTTCCTCATCTGCAAAGTGAAAACTATACTTTCCTCCTTTATTTGTTTTTGTGTTGTTGTCATTCATTTCTTCACTCAACAAACTCATATTAAGCATCAAAACTTTACAGAATCTGTGTAATAGGCCCAGATACAAAGTCACTTTCACAAATAGCAGTTCCTTTCTCATCCCCCATAATATTCTTCTCCTAAACCTTCTAGTTGATCGATGACCCTGGGGGAAGGAGTTATTTAATGAGCCTACTCATTTCTCCCCAGTCCCTTAGGGGGTCTCCTCTAGAATTTTGGAAACCACCTGGGCATACTCCAGATGCTCTAACATTTGCCATTTTATTAAAATAATCTTACAGGCCATCCGGATTCTGAAGCCCCTGGAAGACATAGAGACCAAGATTGATACCACAGTAACCTTTGAGTGCATCCTAGAGCTGAAGGACCCCAATGTCAAGATGATATGGATCAAGGTGGGGGTCCACCCTAGCAATATAATTTCTTCTTTGCATCCTCTCTGTTCTCAGACCCTCTCATTATCTGTAAGCCAGGGCCTCTCTTCCATCCCATCAAGAGAATGCCCTCATACAGTTGAAAGAGGCAGGGAGCTGGACTTTATTCTTAGCTCTTCCATCACTTTGCTTTTGATCAAAGACAGTCACTTTTCTCTCTGTGTGCCTCAGTTTACCTGTTGTTACACTGAAAGGCTAGATTAGATAATCATAAGGTCACTGAAGATCTGTGCCTCTAGGAGAAAGCATCTAATGAACTCATACATATTAAGAGTTTAAGCCTTATGGGGAGACAGGGATTCTGAGTCCCTCAAGCCAGATAAATGAGACTAGAGAGATTATAGGGGCCTCTGAGAATGTTTAGAGAGATGGACAATGCATCCACCTGCTTAAGCTGGCTTTGGGGAATGGGGAGCTCTGAAAGTCTCCTCCTAAACCCCTTCATCAGCTTTCCCACCTGTTCCATGAGGCAGGATACTGAGCCACTGAGGATCCAATACTCCCTGGGCAAGTATGATGTGAAGCAGATGGGCACCAAGTACATGCTGGTGATTACCAACGTAAACATGAGTGACGCCGGCGTCTACAGCCTGTCTGTGGGTGATAAGCGGATGAGTGCACAGCTCACAGTGCTGGGTATGAACATGGGTCTGGGAGAGGAATGGCCAGGGAGGGATCCTTGGGGATATTGGAGAGAAACTGTGGGATTATGCATGAAAGAACTGCAAGAAGATGGGCGTTAATAGAAGAAAAAAAATAAGCTGTAAGGGAGAGGACTGTGAGATAATAAGTGCTGTGGGACATGTAGCATACCGGTTAAGAGCACAGACTCTGAAGCTAGACTACTGGAAAGTCATATCCCAGCTTCTGCTAATTATGAGATGTAAGATTTAAGGCAAGTTATTTAACTTCTTTTCTTCAATAAAAATAAAACTGTAAAACGTGGAATCAGGTAAAATATATATGATAAATGGATGAACTAATATGTGCAAATTGGCTAGAAGGTTTTAAAAAATTGCTATTAAGGGCTGGAGTTGTGGCTCAGTGGTAGAGCACTTGCCTAGCATATGTGAGGCCCTGGGTTTGATCCTCAGCATCACATAAAAATAAGTAAATAAAATAAAAGAGTCATTTACAACTAAAATATATTTTTTTAAAAAATGGCTATTAACATTACTGGAGAGGAGACCCTGGGAATAGACTCCAGAGCAGAAGGGCTCACCAGTGGGATGAAAGAAAAGGTGCTTCCCCCCAGTGGTGGTCTACAGAACACCAGTGACACTTGCATATCCATGTTCCCTTCTGTGTTCAACCTCCCCCATTCTTTGCTGCAGATGAGCCACTGAAGATCTTAGGAGATCTGAAGCCACTAAAGGTGACAGAGCGCCAGACAGCTTTGTTTGAGGTCCGTCTCTCAAAGAAAGAGCCCAACTTTGTGTGGAAGTTCAATGGGAAGGAGTTGAAGAGGGATGACAAATATGAAATCTCAGTGTCTGAGGATGGTCTGACCCACACACTTAAGATAAAGGATGCCAGACTCAGCGACAGTGGCGAGTTCTCTGTTCAAGCAGGGAACCTGGTACAGAAGGCTCAGCTCACTATTGACCGTGAGTGGTTGGGGAAGAACCTGAGGGGTGGGCTTTGTGCCATAGTAACCTCTGCAAGGGCAATCATACATCCTCCTGTCCATTTGTTCATGTGACAGTTACTGGGAAGAGGGTTTTCTGAAAACTCCTAGTCTAGTAAGGGAGGCAGGTGTGAAAATAACTAAAATAGCAGTTCTTGGGCTAGGGATCAAGACACGCTGAAGTCTTTTGAGGTGGGATATCATGGAAATTATTATGGCTTTAACATCATATCATACAGCACATTTATGTAGCATTCCAATATTATTGCTAGTTTGGAGATTTGTACATGATGGTGGGTACACCAATGAACAAGTTACTCACATGAATCACACCTGGGATCTGCCACATGGAATCATCACTGCTATGATGGAGACAGTTATAGAGGCCATGGGAGCACAAGGAAGGGGCACCACCTGGCAATGTCAGATACTGATATGATGAGGTAATGCCCAAGTCTTAACAAGGAGAACAAAAAGCAGTTCTGCTTTCAGAGAAGGGGGAGAGAAAAAAAAAAACATCCCCAAGAGAAGTTCAGCAGGTTCGAAAGTTCAGACATGGCAGGTACAACATCAGAGATCTTGCCTGCAGTGCTGTAGAAGTTGTTATCCCACATTACATAAGAGGAAACTGACACTCAGCAAGGTAAATGAGGTGTATGGAATCAACAACTGAGTAAGGGCAGAGTTGGGACTCTCCCTGCCATGCAGTTCCTTGGGTCACGTATTACATACAAACACACTCAATGTGTCAAGTTCTTACATTTTCTAGGGCCAAAAAGAGGGCAAAGCAGCATATAATTGCACTAAAAGGATACTAAGGAATAGGCCAAAGTGTGTGTGTCTTTCTATCTACAGGCATCCCCATAAAGTTTGTGAGCACTCTCAAAAATGCACGTGTGAAAGAGAAGAGTCGTGCATGTCTCGAGTGTGAGCTGAATTCCAAGGATGTGACACTGAGATGGAAGAAAGATGGGCAGCTGCTGGCACATGGCTCCAAGTATAGCATGAACCACGAGGGCAAGCGAGCAGAACTGATCATTGAGGATGCACAGCTCAGCGACGGTGGCGAGTACACTGTGGTGGCCATGCAGAATGGGGATCCCACTGAATACTGTAGTACAGCCACCCTCACTGTGGAAGGTAACCCGTCAGCCCACACTACCAACCCACTAACCCAGAAATTTCCTTACAACGGATACTGATCTACTCCTTACTGACTTCAAACCTCACCAGATCATGACCAACTTGTACCTCCCCACTCTGATCACCCCTATCTCCCAAATTCCAACAATCTCAAATCCCCCATTCCTTGAACATTCATACTTTTTCGACCATGATCCTCCCCCATCTCCCAGATTCTATCCCAAATTCTTTAACTTTATCTTTTACTTCCAGATTCTGAACATCCCCAGCAGCCCTGACCATCCACTACTCCCTAAGTGTAACCATTCCTCATTGACCCTGACCAACCTCAATTCCAATGACACTAGGCATCCCATCGACCAACATAACCACAACTAAACATCCAAACTCCACTCATCACCTGCATGTACATCATTTCTGTCTTCAATATCACATCCTAAGTCCCAGCCAAGCATCCTCCACTAATCAATTCTCCCATTAACCATCTCTCAGTCTTCCTGGCTGCCATTTCCCAAAACACTGACCTTTCCCCAAATCCTCTAACACCTACTTGCACCAGCCCCCGACCCCACACATTGACCATGGAGCAATCTACAGACCAAGGCCAACCCATCTGTTCATCATAAATGATTTTGATTGACATCTCATCTCTAACTGTTCCCACTACCATACCATCAGCCATTTTCCCATGAATTCCTTCCCCCTGAGTCAGTCCAGACCCTTTCTTCCCAGAGCGCCTGGCCACAGTGAAGAGCGGGATGTCTGACGTTCACGCTGCCACCGGGAGCCCAGCGGAACTGTGCGTAGTGCTGAATGACGAGAAGGTGGAAGGCGTGTGGCTGAAGGATGGCAAGGAGGTTGGAGGCAGGAACCAGGGAAGGGGCGAAGGAGATCTACCTGGCCCACGCTCTCACTCACTCCCACCCCTTGTCCCCTAGATCACTGACTTGCCGGGTGTGCAGATCGTGAAGCAGGGTGCAGTGCACAAGCTCATCTTCCCCAACATGGGCCCGGAGTATGAGGGCAAGTATACATTCCGAGCCAAGGGTGCCGAGAGTGAAGCCTCCGTATTCATCGCAGGTAAGGTCCAGTCCAAGGAGTTGCAAGGACTCCTGGCCTGCCCACACGCTCATGACCCCTCCCCACTGACCCCTCCCCATCCTTGGTGGGCAAGCCTTCCCTGCTACCCTCCTCTACAGATCCTCCTGCCATTGACCCGTCAATCCTGGAGGCACTAGCTGCACACCCTGTGACTGTGAAGGTAGGCCACACAGCCCACATAAAGGTGCCTTTTCGGGCAAAGCCACTGCCCAAAGTGACGTGGTACAAGGACGGCATGGAAGTTACGGAGGAGGAACGCGTGTCCATGGAGCGCGGGGAAGACCAGGCACTGCTCACCATCTCAAACTGCGTGCGTGAAGACAGTGGCCTGGTTCTGCTCAAGCTTAAGAATGACTACGGCACAGCCACAGCCACTCTGCACCTCAATGTGCTGGGTAAGGAAAGGGCCCGGCAGGACTATCTGGAGGCACTGGCTGCCCAGCGCTCAGAGCAAGTGGCAGGCTGGTGAGGAGGACCACCACAGAGTTGTTTGGTCAGGGGATGGGGCTGGAGTGCTAACAAACAGAGGACCACTTCCTAACTTCCTAAGTGACCCTGGTCAAGTGGGCTTCTCAAGCCTGTTTCCCACCAGGAACGGGGTGATGTTTTTCTCCCTACATTATCAATTTTTAGTGGTTTTAAAGTGTGTAACCAGTGCACAGCACACAGTAGAATTTTCAGTATGTTATTAAGTATTATTCTTGACTGAATAACAAAGACATGGCTGGAAGTTTAGGGGGAAATGAGGAGAAAGAGAGGTGGGATTTTAGGAATGGAGGTGAGGTGGGAAAAGAAATGGAGTGAGGTGGAGGTGAAAGGGTAGGGAAATAAATAAAATGGGAAATCTGGATGGGGATGGGATTGGGATTTGGGATTGGTCTAAACATTGGGATAAAGAATGAGATGAGGAGCTGGCCTTAATGAACCTCCAATATATGCACACCCTATCACCACCTCCCCTGCCTGCAATTCCACCACTGTGGGGTAGAAAGGTTTGGGTTTTAATTCAATTCAGAAGAGTGCCTCTTCTGTGTTCTCAGTGTTGGAGATAAAGAGATGAAGTATCCCCGGCAGTACCTCAACCCAAAAGGGATAAACAAGTAATTATAGGGTAGAATGTGATGCTAGAAATCACTGGTGTTCTGGAAGCTAAAAAGTGGGAGAGAACTTGTCTAGAAAGATACCAGAGGACCAGCTAAAGCAAGAGTTCCCAGGGGGTGCAGAAATGCACCCATTTCTATCCAGGCAGGAGGTTCAGAGGGCAAGGATCAAATTCTTTTGGCAAGTCTTAGGAGGAAGGCTAATGGACACAGGGAGAAGCAAGAGATCCAGAAAGCTCAGAATCCATTTATGCCTCAGGCTGGCCAGACAGCTGGTGAGTGGGAGGAGCCTCTTCTGATCCTTTGCTTCAAAGCCCTATTGTGAAGCTGTTCTCTGTCCTCAGACCGCCCCAAGCCTCCACAGGGCCGAGTGGAGTTCCTGGAGCTCTCCGGTAATTGTGTGCACATGAAGTGGAAGGCCCCTAAGGACAACGGAGGACGACCTGTGACACAGTTCATAGTGGAACGGAGGGCAGTTGGCAAGAAATCCTGGATTAAGATAGGCGAGGTGGATGGCAAAGTCACCAACTTCTCCACCAATAAGGTGGAAGAGGGAAAAGCCTACCAGTTCCGTATCCTGGCAGTCAATTCAGAGGGTGTGAGTGACCCCCTGGAGACTGACGAAGTATTTGCAGGAAATCCCATAGGTCAGTGAGATTGCCTGGTACTCAGGGGCTCAGCCAGGGGTCAGGCTGGGGTCCTTCAGCCAGTGAGGAACACTGGGGAATTCCACAGGATCATCTAACTGACCTGTGAAACAGATTGACTGTAGAGGAAGAATAGAACATAATTTCGGGCAGGAATTCCAAACTTTTTCCCATCAGATCACATATGCAGCATATCCCTTTAGGTATACCTAGATATGCACAATTCCAGAAAACTAACTTCACTTTTTTACTATTCTAGATACCATCCTAGAATCCCAGGGAACATAATGTCACTTTAGGGATAATTTTGAAAATTCTCTTCATATTTTTCCCAAAGAAAACCCTTGACAATATGGGCATTTTAATTATGACTGCTAATTAATTACTTGTTACACCCCTCCCAACTGATTTCCAGGTCTCAATGTGTCAAGACAGTAGAATGAGAACTGTAGCAAACGGGGAAGGGGGGGGGTCACGTGATTGGAATGTTTAAGTCAGTGATCATTATTCTTGGCTGTATATTAGAATCACATAGGGTTTTTTAAAAATGCTTATGCCTGCACTCTACCCCAGCCCAATTAAATTAGAATATCTAGAAGTAGGACCCAGACATTACTGGGTCCTACTTCTAGACAGGACTTCTAGGTAGGATAGGGTTACTTCTGGAGTTAGAAGTAACCTCAGAAGCTCATTAGTTGTCAATGGTGATTTCCTTTTATACCCCACTTGATGATAAAGTACAACCAAAGTTAAGTATCAATCAGGTTTTATTAGGGGAAAGAGGTCAACATGGGGGAACAACAGTCTATGTGCTCCCCTCTCCTAACCTTTGCCCTCTCCATGGCTCCACAGAACCCCCAGGTTTTGCCTCCCAGCCTCAAGTGACTGATGTGACCAAAGAAACTGTGACCATCACATGGAATGCCCCTACACAGGATGGGGGAGCCCCAGTGCTTGGCTATATTGTGGAGCGAAGAAAGAAAGGCAGTAACTTGTGGGTACCAGTCAACAAGGACCCCGTACAGGGTAAGGTCCTAGGAGCAGAAGCTCAAGAGGGACCAAAGGAAATCTTGCTGAGGGGACCAGTTGCTACTCTGAATTTCTGCTTTCCCCTACTCTTTTGAGTATTTTAACAGCATCTCATGACCTCCTCTTCTAAGATATCTCACTTTTTGACCTCTCACTCCATGGATGCTCCTGGACTCATAAACCCTTCGTCTCCCCATTTCAGGTACCAAGTATACCGTGGATGGTCTCCTGGAGGACACAGAATATGAATTCCGAGTTATAGCTGTGAATAAGGCAGGCCCTGGACAGCCCAGTATGCCATCCAGTTCAGTGGTAGCCAAGGATCCTGTTAGTGAGTATGGGGCTGCCAGGCCTCAACACATAATGGAATTAGCTCATAAAGCACAGAGAGAATTTCTTCCCTGGAAAAGTCTGATAGAAGAGATCATACAGGCTCCATTCATTATTAACTTCCAGGCTTGTGGAGGGACAGGATTCACACACAAAATAAAGCCAGCTGGGCACAGTGGTGCACGCCTGCCTGTAATCCTAGTGACTTGGGAGGCTCAAGCAGGAGGATCAAAAGTTCAAGGCCAGCCTCAGCAACTTACTGAAGCCCTAGAGAACCTAGCAAAACCCTATCTCAAAATAAAAAGTTTTTAAAAGGGCTGGGGAAAATGGCTGGATATTCAATTATTTAAGTTCAATAAAATATTTAAAATTTTTTTTAAAAGAGCTGGGATGTGGTTCAGTGGTACAGCATCCCTGAATTTAATACCAAGTACCAAAAAAAAAAAAAGGAAAGAAAATAAAGATTGAGCATCAGGAATAGTGAGGAGTCAGTGTGGGAAAAGATATTATCAAGCTTTAAACATTTCTGGTCAGGTGAGGTAATAAAGGTATATTGAGGATTGAGTGAGGGTGTTGGGGAGATGATTGGGAGGATGAGTTTAAAAGATGAGGTCATGGTACTCCCTATAAATGGATATAGTAGAAATGGTTAAAAATTGGCGTTTTGAATGTAGGCTTGAATGTATGGGTTATGTGAATTTGTGTGAGGAATGTTAAATATTAACTTTAAGGATGAAACTATTGAATTGGTAAAAGAATTGAATTTGGAGGTTATTGGGTGTGAAAGGTTAAGTTTTGAGGATGTGAGTTATAGGAGTCGGTAGTAGAAGTGGTACAAGTTAGGGCCCAGGAATATTGAGGGTGGGAAGTAGGCATGGTCAGATGAGGTAGTAAAGGTATTGTTGAGATTGAGTGAGGGTGTTGGGGAGATGAATGGGAGGGTGAGTGGGATCAGTTGGGGACTGACTGGATGTCTGTCCTATCCAGAACCCCCAGGCTTGGTGCAGGGACTGCATGTGTCTGATTCATCCAACTCGAGTATTTCCCTGGGCTGGCAGGAGCCTAAGGAAGGAGACCCACCCTCTGGCTATATCCTTGAGATGCGGGCTGAAGACAGCAAGGAGTGGTCCAAGTGCACAAAAATCCCCATCTCAGGCACCTGCTACACAGTGGGGGGCCTGACTGAGAGGCAGAAGTACTTCTTCCGCATCCGGGCTGTGAATGAAGCTGGGGTTGGGGAGCCTGTGGAGCTAGATGAAGGGGTTCGTGCCATGCCACCACCAGGTAAGGACAGAGAGGGCTGAGGGTTCAAGCCTATCATTCTAGCTCCAAACCTTCCTCTCAAGGGAAATTGGGTGGTGCTATATCAAGACAGAGTTATCCAAAGTAGCCCCAGCTACTCAGGAGGCTAAGGTAGGAGGATCACTTGAGCCCAGGAATTTCAGAGCAACTTGGACAACATAACAAGACCCCATCTCAGAAACAAAAAGAGAAGAACAAGGAAAAGTAATCCAGGGCTAAAGCTATAGCTCAGTGGTAGAGCACTTGCCTAGCATGCATGAGGCTATGAATTCTATCCTCAGCATCTCAAGAAAAAAAAAATTCATTTCTCACTTGTGCCTTGTACCTGGACAGAGTTAGAAGTAACCCCAGAAGCACTCATTGTGTGCCAAATGGTATCCACTTGAGCCAAGGGCAGTGTCAGGGATATAGAAATAAACAAGACACAAGACCTGCCTTCTAGGATCCTACATAGTAGTAGAGGGAGACTGACAGGAAACAAATAAATGCTTCACAGTGTTGCTGGGCATCTATAGATCTGATATCCTTTAATGGGCCCAGGAAAGAGCAGAGGTTGGGAAAGGCTTTGGAAGGAAGTCTTAAACTGAATCTTCTGGAAAGAGGTTCATGCCCTTACTTCTTTCTCTTCCATCTCAGCTGCCCCAAAGTTTGACCTCAGTGCACGGCTGAAGAGTCACATGGTGGTTCGTGCTGGGACAGCTCTCTGCATCCATGCAGCCTTCTCTGTGAGTTGTTGCTGACCCTGGCCACCATATACCCTCCACATAACCAAGATGACTATTGTAGACATCATAGTCTCTGCCTCTGACTCTGTTCCCCCTTGCCCAATTCCTGGCACTACACTGGCAGGAGACTTCTTGAGAGGGCCTTCTCCCAAATACCATCTGGGTGATTGACGGTACCACCTCCTGTCACCACCCAGGGCTCACCACCACCCGATGTGATCTGGAAGAAAGATGGTATCACTACAAAGGGCCGGGAAACAATCACCAAAGGCAAAAACCATTCCCAATTCCTCATCAATAGCACCAAGCGCTCTGACTCAGGGGTGTATCGAATCTTGCTCCAGAATGAATTTGGAGAGGCACACTATGACATTCACGTGCATGTGACAGGTATGGACAGCAGGCAGAAGTCCCCAGGAGGTATCCCGGCATATTCCAAATGTAGCTTACTGCTGTTTAAGCTCCTCCCACTGGAAAGTGGGCCTTAGGTTAAGGAAGCCTTCTTTGACACTACAAAGGCTTTATCACCTTTGCCTAGTGATGAGGTTTGATTCCCCTCTGGTTCTCAAAGGCCCGATGCCCCTCTGGCTGATATTCAACTAGGACCAAGCCACTGTTTCAGTTTCTTCAGTCTTATTTGGTGAGCTTTGGGACATGAGAATATGGACAGCAGAGAGACTAGAGAATGGGAGAGGGGCAGGAAGGACAAAGGGAGATGAATCCATGAATAACTGGAGTGACATCTTAGAGAGGACAGGAAGCTTTATAATAAAGCTCTAAGCCTCCAAAAAAAAAGAAAAGATAAACTTTTATTGAGTAGTAGTAACTCCATACCATGCAGTATATCCATTATTCCTATGAAGCAAGTAGTCATTGTTATTCTTCATAGTGTAAATAAGGAAATAGGTCTCAAAGAATAACTTGCCCAAGGTCACAGGGCTACTAAATGTCAGAGTAACACTTCAGCATGAGGCTTGTCTAGCTCCAAGACATCTGCTGCCTATGAATCAAAGAAGAGAAGTGCCTCATCCTTTTTTCCAGTGGGCTGGGCAAGTAGGTAGGATAGGGACATAATACTTCAGCCCCCAGGTAGCTGATAGACTTTCCAATGTTCCAGATTTCCCCCGGCCTCCTACAAACCTACAACTGTTTGAGGAGGTCCCCAACACAGTGACTCTGACCTGGAACCACAGCCCTGACGTGCAGGAAGATGGTGATGCACACTATGTCATCATGAAGCGGGATGCCAGCAGTCCCACATGGTTCACGGCAGCTGAGCGTGTCTTCAGCAACAAATACACAGTGACAGGGCTGCTCCCAGGCAGAAAGTACTATTTCAGAGTGGTAGCCAGGAATGAAATTGGTGACAGTGATCCACTGGACTCCAAGGATACCTGGCTCGTCAATAAGGACCACAGTAAGTAGGAGCTTGAGGTTTGCATTACATCTGGGAGCCCTGATGGTGGGGATGACATAAAGGTCACAAAGGGGTACGCAAGAGTTGAGATAAAAATCGGAGAACCCTGGCACACACCTGTAACCCCAGAGGCTAGGGAGGCTGAGACAGGAGGATGGCAAATTCAAAGCTATCATCAGCAACTTATTGAGGACCTGTCTCAAAATAAAAAAAATAAGAGTTGGAGATGTAGGTCGATGGTAAAGCATCCCTGGGTTAAATCTCCAGTATCCATAAACATATAAACAAAATCAGAGATCCATTGAGATGGAAAAGTTAATATCTGGGACACTGAGGAAAGTCAATGTTAGGGGTATTTATTAGAGAAGATATCTTAGGGGCATTTTGAGAGATGATACAAACATGGAGATGGGTAGATACCCTATTTTTGAGGCAGGGATGATGGCAGAGGGATAGGGTTGGGTAGAGAGGGGATTAGTGCAGAGACTCTTGGTCTGCTCTGAAGAGGGGCTTATAGGAGTGAGGGCTGGGGACTGACTATGAGGAGCAGGAATGAAGTCTGAGCAGGAATGAAAAGAAGAAATTTAGGGTGGAGATAATAGAAAAAAATGGAAATGAGGGACTAAATGGGACAGAACAGAGAATACTAGCCAATGGAAGCTAAAATGACAGAGGGGAAGTTTGGAGGGGAGTTGGAGGCCAGGAAAACAGCTTGAATACCCAGATCTAAGGAGTTGGCACTGGAAAGACATCTAAGCTCCTGGGGTCTGGGAGACTATAAAAACCTATGAACCTGCTTAGGTCAAAGAACCCTAGAATGGCTTGGGGGAGGGAAGGGTAGTGTGGTAGAGCCTTTAGGAACCAGTGTAACATCAGGGCTTCCAGAGTTGATGGTGTCTGAGAATCTGGTCCAAGTCCTTGGGGTTTCATGTAAGCTGGGTCTCCAGGTGCCTTCCAAGCTCTAAGACAGGGATGGCAGCTAGGGAGCCACTCACAGGCATCCACCCCATCCCTCCTGCACAGTTGAAAACCTGGACACCAAGCTGAAGCCATACCAGCAGAAGGACTGGCGCCACGCACCTCGTTTCCTGACTCCGCTCAAGCCACACATGGTGCTCCAAGGCCAGGATTGCACCATGACCTGCGCCTTCCTTGGGAACCCACGGCCCACAGTGACCCTCTACAAGGGCGATGTCAACATCACGGCCAACTCCAAGTTCTGGTACAACTCCACGAGTGGAGTATGCACCCTTGTCATTCCCACCTGCACACTAAAAGACAGTGGGGAGTACAGCGTGCTGGTGGAGAATGAACTTGGCAAGGACCGCAGCAGCTGCACACTTACCGTCTATGGTAAGGCCCCGAAGAGTCCATCCTGTCAGGGGCAGGGGTGCCAAGCAGTTATTTCAGTTTGGGGGCCATTAATCAACTCTCTTCATTTGGCTAGCACCATTTTTTATTTATTCTAACTGCCATCTGATGGTGCAAATATTTTCAGGGTTCTTACCACTCTTGGATCCTCTCAATATCATTTGTTATGTTCCTGGCCCCTGCAGATGTAAGTTTGTGATCCTTTAGTAAGCTGTGGTTTGCAACCTTTGGTAATCCTAGACCACCTTTAGAAAAGATGGTCACCAAACTCACCAACCACTCTAGCAAGGGTCAGGAAGGACTATATATGTTTACAAGATTTTGAAAGTGATTCTGATGTGCAAACAAGATTGAAAACTATTGGTCTAGGGCAAGGACAAATGGAAGGCACAAACAGCAGAGGGACTGAATGCTCCCCTCCCTCTTGCATATACATGTCTTATTTCTGCTCATATGTGTGCACATAGAGGGAAATGTTTCATTCCTTCCCACACATAGCTACATAGCCAGCAATGAACCCCAAAAAACTAACCTCTTTGCTTCCTCTTGCTTATATACCCCCCTAACTTTCCCTGATCCTCAAAATAAAGTCCCTAACCAACAAGTCTCTCCCACTGCCCCTCCTCTCTCCATCCTCATCCTCTGTCACTCTATCAACTCTCAGAGGTGAGTGGTGCTCAATTGCTGTGATCTCCATGGTTACAGACCTCTTTCCATCCAGTTATAGATGCCTTTCCTTGGGGAAAGAACCATGTCTTTTGGCTCTGTCTCTCAAGTGCTCAGTTCAGTGGCACTGAGATAATGATGCCTCTGGAGTGGCTGCTAAACTGCACAGAACTAGGCCAGGGCAGGCACTGTGGGAGCTATACAGCTTTGATTTCACAGATAGAGAGATCCCTGATGATTTAACTCTGGTTCTAAGCACACAAACCCAGGACCCTGATGCCACCACTGACCAACCACATAACCGTAGCAAACTTCTGGATTCTTTTATCTCACATATTTCAAAAGGCTGTGGGGCTTCAATGAAATGGTACATGGCAATGCCTGGCACAATGCATGGTTAAATATTCAGTGTTGAAAAAAATGGTAACTCTTGCCAGGCAGTGGTACATGCCTATAATCCCATCAGCTAGGGAGGCTGAGGCAGGAGGATCACGAGTTCAAAGCCAGCCTCAGCAACAGCAAGGTGCTGAGCAACTCAGTGAGACCCTATCTCTAAATAAAATACAAAATAAGGTTGCGGATGTTGTTCAGTAGTTGAGTGCCCCTGTACCCAGTACCCGTCCCCCAGAAAATGGCAGCTCTTGCTTGGCACAGTGACAAACACCTGTATTCTTAGTAACTGGGGAGGCTGAGGCAGAAGGATCACAAATTTAAAGCCAGCCGCAGGCATTTAGTGAGGCCCTAAGCAACTTAGCAAGACCCCATCTCAAAATAAAATATAAAAAGGGCTGGGATGTAGCTAGTGATTAAGCCCTCTAGGTTCAATCTCTGGTGCCAAAAAAAAAAGGGACAGCTCTTGATCCCTGCCCTGCTTAGCCAACCCCAGATTGAGGGTCCCAAGGTCCAGTTCCCAGTTACTGTGTAGTAACATAGTAACTAAGCCCAGCAGTTTGTAGTTTCCCTGGCCCCTAGCATCATTAACACTAACAAATGTTTTCTTTGACCTTTCAGATAAGGATGACAAGTCAATTCTAACATCCATCACTGAGAACCTACAGAAGAAATCAAAGCACCTGATGTGAGCTCCAGCCCAGCCCAGGCATCTGGAGGCTATTGTAACATGGGGCTTCTTGGCGTTTCTCTGCATGGCCCCAGTGTACAAAGCCCAATCTGCTCTCTGGCATATGTCAATGTAAACATCTGTGAAGGGACAGGACAATAAACTCACTGAGCTTACCCTTTACTACTCCTGAGAGTGGAGTACAATAGGGGCCTAGAATATGGATTCAAGTGTAAGATGAACCAAGCTCCAAAACCACCCACAAAGGTGTGACCAACCTCCTTTTGACTGGGCCTTGACTTGCCTTCCTCTCCTCCACTACCACACTGCACTCTCCCACTCCCCTCAGGCATAGGGCAAGTCTTGAAGACTTCATCCTTTTCTGCATCCTGCTCAATCCCATTTCTTCACACACAGTAGGTCTGTGTTCAGCACTCTGAGGTTTGAAAGGATCATGACTTTGCCTCTTTGGTGCCCAGAGGTCCCACTATTAAAGCTAGAAGGGACTCATCATCCAGTTTCAAATATTTTACAGCAGAATCCTTCCTTAAAAGAAAAAAATCTTAAAATTACTGCACTTGAAATTAGGGTCATTGAGCCTTCTGCCTCTCCTTATTCCTTCCTATTCTCTACCAGGGATCTCATAAAACCCTAGTTTGGCTGGGCATGTAGCATACACCTATAATTCTAGATTCTTGGGAGGGCTGAGATAGGAGGATCATAAGTTCCAAGCCAGCTTTAGCAATTTAGTGAAACCTTGTCTCAAAATAAAATAGAAAAAGGACTGGAGACATATCTCAGTGGTAGAGTGCCCCTGGGTTCAATCCCTAGTACCATGAAGGCAGGGGAAGAAATCCTTAGTTTGAGGCTCAGTGGTAGAGTTCATGCTTAGTATGCACAAGACTCTAGATTCAATCCCCAGCACCACAAAAACAAAAAACAAAATCCATGAAACCCTAGTTTGAAATATCATTGATTCACCCAACACCTATGAGAATTCGAGTGTCCTATATCACATTCCCACAAATGTGTTCTACCAATGGCATATTCACCACCATCCAAGGCTTTCCTTTCTACTTCAGGGTTAGGGCATTGCCTGTTAAAATGCAAATGCCCCTGGAGTAGTGTGACATGTTAATCTGACAAGGCTTTATGTCTAAAGTATGAATCAGCCAATCTATTCCCATTCCTCCCAGCTGTTCAACTAAGCCTAAAGTCCCAGAAGAAGGAGATACTTGAAGGGAAATCTGAATCATTTGGAGCAGGCAGCAGGTCTGTAATGGAGAGGGGAGGAGGCAGGCAGCAGTAGAGGACATTGGGTAACTAAAGGTCACCAATATTGCTGGGCACCTGTGCATAGGGAAATTTCATCAAGGACAAATTTGGACAATGGCAAACACTACCCTCCCCCGTCCTCCTAAACTACCTCCTCTCATGCACACATGTGACCAGAGAAGGGAGACCCACTCCAACTAGCACAGTGTCAGCAGAACCAGAGAGCCAGGCTGGCGCCAAGATGCCCTGGCCAAGACTTTGACCCAGGCTGTGAGGACAGCCAGGGCCCCTGGCACCATGCCCCCACCCACTCTCCAGGACAGGCACGTGCATGCTACACAGGCAGACAAACAGGGGAGCCAGTGGCCCTTGATTTATTTTTTAATATTTATTTATTTATTTATTTTCATTTGGACAGTAGAGGATGGAGTTGCCTCATCCTTCCTTCCCTTGCATTGAATGTGCCTTGGGTCTTAAGACCCTAGAATGTCATTGGAGCCCAGTGTAGAAGGGACAGGGAGGAAAGCACTGAGTGGGTATGTTGGGAGGAAAGGTGCCAGGCTCAGCACCCTTCAGTGGCTCCCTGAGGCCCTCTCCCTATGAGATTTTACAGACAGCAGGCAGAGACATATGGCAGAAAAACACACAGACTAGCTAGGAGACAGACTACACATATACACCACACACACACACACACACACACACAGAGCCTGGCCCTTTCCTTTGGCATGGTTTTTACCTTAGCCCTGGGATCAGGAACTAAGGGTGGTGGTATGGGGCCTAAGCTCTGGGCTGGCCTGTGAGTGAGATGGGATCAATTTTAATCCTTGGTATCCATAGGCTCTCAGACCAAGGAAATTCCTCTCCTGCCTACCCTTCACCTCCATAGTCACACTTAAAGATTGAGATTGTTCAAGTAACAAGGATAGTCAAGGGGAAGGGAGATTCCATCTTCATCCAATCTTCCCAACTATGGGCCTGTTAAAAGGACTTCAAGCCCTGGCCCTGGATCATCTCAACACAGATTTCTCCCCTCTTTCCCTAGACTATACAGAACAGAAAAGTTGGGAGTGGATTCGTCCAGCATTGCCACTTGTTCTAGGCATAAGAGATGAAGTCAGACTCTTTCACCTAGTAGGGGAAGGGGCGGGTCAAGAAGCTGAGCACCATTACCCTTCAGGAGGTCTCTGACAGTCCTGATGGGGTAGAGGTGGGGTGATGTATTCTGGCTCCAGAAAGGAAGCTGTTTCTCTGAGTACTCGGCACTATCCTGAACCTCTAGCTTTGCTAGTGAGAACCTTCTCCTGCTTACCCCTTCAAACTCGTCAATTCCCAAGTGATACCGACTGCCCAGGCTGGCACTGCAGCCATCTTGATCCAGCTCCTGTAGGTTCCCCAGGGTCTGGACCCCAGTCCTAGGAGAGGGAGGTGAGCAGATCCTGGTCCCTCAGTTGGCCTTGTTCAGTCTATAGTCTTCCACTGGCTCCCGGCTCTCCACAGCTGACAGGGCGATGAGCATCTGAGCAGCATAGTAGGTGGACATGATGACTGCCCGAGAGTATGGCACAGGAAAGCAGAACTGGTTCAGTGCAAGGGTCATGTCTGAGATGATAAAGAGCAGTGCACCACTGCCTGCTGCCAGCTCAGTCCAGCGCCAGGCTGCCCCAGCCAGCTGCAGTCCTGCTATAGCTCGCCAGCCCATGAAGCTGATAAGGGCCACATAGACCCCCACCAGATAGGTGAAGGCACCTGAAAGCCCTGGATAGAGGAGGGCATAGCACAGGCCTGACAGCACTCCCATCACCAGGCCTGTCCGGAGAGCCAGTGGCCGAATGCCAAAGGCTGAGGCGTAGAGCATGTGAGTCACAGCAAACATCAGCAGACCTGGGAGTAAGAGGGGATAAGGGATGCTGAAGGCAAGCTTAGTAATTAATGAGTATTGGGGGGAGTTATCCAACAGATTTTCTATGGAAGTAACAAGTGTAGGAAGATCCACAAAGGTAATGATCACCCCTACACACACACTCCCCTAAAGAACTTCAGAACTGATCACTAGAGTTCACCTAGTGATCAGGCAGTCCTCCAACAGGGGACCCCACACCACAAAAACCCTCTAACTCCCCCATTCAAAAGCTCCCTTTTCTAAATCCTTGCCAACCCTAGGACCCTCTTTCCCCCAGCCCCAGGATCCCCCCACCCCACCCCCGGCAGTTATTATGACCACTAACCGTGCACAAAGTAGCCCTGGTCTTGCCAGATGAGGAAGGCATCACCTAGGGCAGAGAAGATGAGCCCCACAAAGATGAGGATGGCGCTGGGGTGGGCCAGCAGGAATCCAAGGCCATGGGCCAGAAGGAAGAGCCAGAGGCAGAAGATAGGCAGGCACTTGATGAGGGCACTGACCCACGACGGGCTGGATGAGGGTAGCCAGAGCACAAAATATACACAGGTGGCCTTGAAGAAAGGCACCAGTTTGGGTCCCTCGCTCTTCACCTGGAAGATACAGGACAAAGGCAGTACTCAGAGCTTTGGAGTTCAGAAGCTCATAATGGGGCTCAGAGTCAGTACCTTCAACCCAGACATCCACCCTAGAGACAGGCCTATGACCCCCCATACCACCCCAAACAGGGAAGGGTGATATACAGAAACCCAGTCTGGCCTGTCCCAACCCCCAGCAGAGTCTAAATAACCCATCATCATGCTGAGGCTCCATTTATTAGGAGGGGAAAGGGCTCCATTTGACTACTCTTGGCTCTGGGTCTGGGCCAAAAGCAAGCAGTCTTTAAGAAAGTGTCCCCTTCTGCAACCCAACATGCCTCCCCCTTCTGGTCCCCTTCCTTTTCCTCCCTAGGACCCCTTTAGCCTCTCACCTGCCAGCATCAGTACTACCCCAGCTATCTGGAATTGGAATGAAATCAGTAGGAAACACCCAGATTGGCCAACTCAAGATCCTCAATAATGAGGCCAGGACACAGGCTTAGGGCCTGGCAACACAAGGAATGTGGGAGGGTAGACAATGACAACCTCCTCCCGCTCCAACTCCTCTTCCTTTTTGGCCGGTCTACTCCTCATTCTCCACTCTATCTGCCTTAGACTAAAGGTAGCTTATCAAGACAAGGAGAGGTACTAAGGATGCTAGAGAAACAGACTCATTGGTTGGAAACAAGAAAAATGTCCCTGAAATACCAAGATTTCAAGTATCAGGGGAAGGAAGGTGCATGTCTGTCAGTCTTGTTTCCCAGAGAACAAGAGCAACTCAACTACACCAGAAATAAGCAGGAAGGGGGATAGGATAGGGGTTCTTTTCCCAGCTTCTGATCTGGAGCCAGCAAACAGACTGGGAGATGGAGAACTGAGAGGAGGAAGTTAGAGCAGCTGACTTGGTCTCAGCCGGATTAGGGGGGAGGGTGGCAAAAGAAAGAAAGGTTGTACCCAAGGGCTGCAAGGACAGTCCAAGCTGGAGGAGGGGACTGCTACAGATATTGTGCATCTGGGTTCCCTCAAGCTACATTCCTTGGGCTGCTAGTTCAGGGTCTTGGAGGGTGATTTGTAGAAGCTGAGGTTCCCTGTGCACTCACATTCTGCTAAAGTGTTTGCTCACTCTGGCTAGGTGAGCTGTCCAACACAGGGCTTTGGGGAGACACTCAAGACTCCTATACCACCAATTACCTGGGTATGGATCAGACGTGATAAAGGGGACTAGGAAGAAGCAAATGTGTGGTACAGGGTCTAAGCCTGCTCTTTCTCTGCCAGAGGTGAAAGCAGGGAGTAAAGATGAGTTCCTCTCCCCACTGGAAATTTCCTTATCAAGGCTGGTCAGGGTAAGGGCATGGCCAGAGGAGGAGGCTGGAAGGGATGGTCAGCTTCACAACATCCACTTGTCAGCCTTTCAGAGCATCAACTGTCCT